TTTTTAGATTTTTAGGAATTTTCCAGATTTTCTAATTTTTTTATTCTATTTCTAAAAGAAATGAAGCGATTGTCCGCCGCCCGCCGTCCACTCGCCGGCCACATGAGAAGGAGAAATTTTGTGCCGTTATCAAACAAATTTCTGTTTCTGAAATAGAAATTTTGTGTCGTTATCAAACATGTTTTTTAGCTTAGAAACTCCTCCAGAAACAGAAATAGAAAAATCAATTTCTTGCCAGAAATTGATTTCTGAAACAGAATGATTATCATTCGCAGCCTTAATAACTCAACTCGATAGACTCGACTCCACACAAATCTCTCCGAGCTCACGCCTCTGTTATTAATTCAGTTTAATCATTCTTTCTTCTTTCATTTTTTTCTCTTCATGTTTTGTAATTTCATGAAGAAAACCAAAATCTATGGTTACAACAATTCATGGATTCACACACAATGAAAATCAGTACGCTGCTCCATATATAGATGGTAAAAATAATTAACAAAATTAATAATTTATACAATATGATTTTGCGGTTTGATTTGGTTTCAAAAAAATTGAAACCAAACCAAACCCCGAAAAACATTTTGATTTGATTTGTGATCGGTTGTTTTTTTTTTCCGAAAAAGTACTTTTAAACCGAACCAAACTGCAAAAAACTGTTCAGTTGATTGCTTTAACTCGAACCATTTTTTACTCACCCCTTACTTTTTGTTCCGCACGACATGTTGGTTCAAGCGCGATATATATTTATACTTGCGTCATATTGTAATGCACTCCTACAATAGATATAATTTAATGCAATTTGTGTAATAAAAGAATTCGCCAATCGTGTCATTTGGAAAATCCTAAATTTACGAGATTCATATGTACTATGTTTAGATCTACTGGAGTTGATCTTATAATGTTGGATAAGGAAGCTTAGCTTTGATACCTTGACTTTCATGAAGCTACTCAGATGTCATTTGTCCGCTATTTTGGCGTGAATGTAGTTGTAGCAACCCAAGAATATAACAAAAAACGTATACAGCTAGCATAACACATGCACACTTCCCGCGCCATTGTCTCTACGTGCCGGAACTCGGTCGCAATTCGTTTCATTAATCCTTGAATATAATTTTTTTTTCACATTTACTTTATGCTCACATGTACTAAATCAGGTGTTGATTTTTAATATATAGATGTCATCCATTATATCCATAAAGAGTAGTTTTACCTTAGGTAATAACATTGGAAAATTTACTGAAATCATTGACTGATATTCAAACGCGATTAACATTAACTTTATAAAATACCGTCTTACATATGTCAATCATCAGATCGAGTCTGGCTAAAAACAGAATTGTTATATCCATATTGCATTGTCGATACACATTCACCTGCTTGACGCAATCCAACTTCCATAAGTTTCATTTTCTCTGCTCAAGCCTAGAAATACAAATTCACCAGGTATGAAAATACGAAAGTTTCTTGGCTTTTGTATATTCCGAAATTGCCCATGCATTTTTCATTTAATATATGTAATATTAAGATATCATCTAAATATAGTAACTTATAAACCTTTTTTTTTTGTCTGACAAGTGTATTTTTGGACTTTGGAGCTCCTACAAGGAGCTCGGCAGGCCCCTAGTAGGCCCACCTGGAGACCCCCCCAATCCGGAGGAAGGGAGTTTCGAACTCCCCACCTACCCATTCCCATGAGAGAATAGTGGCTATTAGGGCAAGCCTCTAGTGTTGGTACAAACTTTTTATCTTGCTTGGTTTTGGAAAGTACAAATAGTTTTTTACACGTCAAAGGTCACCAACTACTATAATAATCCATTAACAGTTTTTCGGGAAATTACCAAAAAAATTCTTAAATTTATGACAGTCATCTTATTTTGACTTATATGCCGACAATTTCTCAATTAAATCTCTTAAAGAGAGCTCCTTCGGTATATCCGGTAGCAATGGCTCACCTTCGCATCCCAATCCCACACTCACAAATGGAAAATGGGAGTTTCTTGTAACCATCGATTGAGTACTTTATGGCTGGGTCCCAGAAGGGTGGTGTAGCGTCGTGGAAGCGTTTCATGACCGGATGGAGTGTAGGGCTCACTTCAACATCATTGTAGCACCACACTGCAATCACACCTCCCAGTTTCCGAAGCAGACGGGTCACAGGGGAGCAGAAATTGGGGAAGTCGAACCAGTGCACGGCTTGTGCCACCATAATTAAATTCACTGAATTTTCGCCTCTGATTAAGGTCACAATTTCGTCGTTGGAGATGGGTATTGGGGTGTGGATGTAGCGGACCCTTGGATGCTGCATGGCAAATTTTAGCTGGGCTGCGCTCGCGTCCGTGGCAATCAGCTGGTCTTAGTGCTCAGCTACCTATTTTACAAGCAGGTGCAGGGCATATGAACAGAGTCGTACGTAACAACAACAATCCGGTAGTAATGAAAGATATTGAGCTTTGAAATTGATGGCCAGTGATCATTTTTGGACTCTATGCGATAAACTTGATAAGAAAATTATTCAGACAATTTAGAGCTTGGAGAAAGATCTATCATCATAAAGCGGGGAGAAGGGAAGAGAAGCCCATTTAGGATAAAAACGAAAGGGAAATGAAGCTTTGGAAGACACTGACACGGGCAGAACTTCAGTTTTGAAGTTCACATTCAAACAAACACTAACAGGATTTGAGATAAATTACGTGAAAATGGAGGATGAGCACCTTCAGTTTAGCAATTAGTAAGTCGATATGCAGCCAATGCTAGCCCCAAACAAAATCAAATCAAATAAATCATCTTCTCAGTATCAATGAGGAGTTGAAAGTAGTTCTGAGATATTCAGGTAAGTGTTGAAGTGAAGCAAAGTCCTAATATTCACCCAGGATGAGCTAATCCCGCTCATTCTCTACACCTTCTACGTCTAGTCAATTACCCCCAAAAACCAAATGAAAAGAAAATATTGGTACAAGGTGAGTATGTGAATGAATGATGCTCCTCAAAATCCTCTTTGGCGAGACATGCATTCGGCATTATATTATTCATGGAAAGTGTCAAATTTCGCATGATCTGCGATCATATCTGGCCAACCCCATTTTTTGGCAAAGATCCAGAAGATGGGCTAACCACGTCACGATTCTTGATCAATGTCGGTTCGATCGTATCAACACAAACCTTAAACTTGCTATTAATCTTGCGCGCAGAGTGAAAGAGAGAGAGAGGACTGACGCCAAGGGCTGCTTGGCCATAGCTGGTGCCGACATCCCAGGTGAGAGAGTGACGAGGAGTACGAGAGCGAGCATGGAGTACCATTGTGCCGAAGTATGTCGGGCGAGTGTCCACGTAAATCTCCGCTTGCTTGTCGAACAGACCCACCATCTCTCCTCCCGATCGGCCTCTGCCCGTGTCGTATTTGCCTTGGATCTTAGTTTCTGCTTTGTTCGTTGCGCTGCCTAATATTATTCTCAAAACATTATCGTTTTGATTCATATCGACAGTCTTATATTTTCAGACGACGATGCGGGAGTTTTGCATTTTCAATATATGCTCCTGCCACAACCGTTTATAAATAAAGCAACTATTTTCTCCATAATTCTTTTTTGTTTTTGTTTTTCTTTTGCCCAACCTCCGTATTAATAGTTCAGTCTCCTCTCCAATGAAAAATACCGTGATCCGGAATGAGCCCTCGAGAAAAGCAAGCAGATAGAAGGATTTAACGGCATAGTGAAGTTCTTTATTTCCTTATCGTATTAGTCACCCACATACAAACTCATCGAAATCCATCTGGTACATCGGGAAGAACGGAGAAAAAGCTGTATAAAAAAGCTTATCTAGCTAATTTTAGCTTCACATTAACCTGCGGCTACGAATCCTAATAATTTGTCTCTCCGTGCTCCGTAACTCCGCCACGATTCGTCACATTAAGGTATCAACTAATTAATGTATCAACTAATTAATGATCTACCAACTGTTAATTTTGCTTGACATTGAAAAGTATGAACTTTTCTTCATAATTCAAAGATTACTAACTACTTTAATAATCTGTCAATGTTTACTCTCGCGACTTGCCAACGTCTTTGAAGTTATTGACTTTTATTCGAAATCGCCGATCTTAATTTGACTGACGTGCCAACATTTGTCGCATCAAATACCAACTAATTTTAATCACAGACCAACTTTTAATCTTCCTAAATTTCGAAAAGTGTCAACATTTCTAGAGAAATTTTGTGAAACCACCTGTCAATTGTTTTAGAAGTTTGAGGTAGCTAGCTGTTAGATGATGGAGGCCTGATTTATTTTCCATTCGAAATGCGAATTCACTCGAGAGCATCAAATTTCATGTTCTCTGCTCCACTTTAATTAATTAGCGATGGCAACATGCCCCACATCAATGTACCTCTCCTAATTCCAACACGTAAAGCAAATGGAACCTTGTAGCTCACGGGTAGAGCGGCCAGCCTTATCCAACGTTTCAAACAAATGGGAAGTAGGGTGGGATTGTTAGCTTACTTCTCATCATATCACACTTGCATTTTCAGCATTTTTCACTCTGGCTCGACTCAATGCTCCATCAAGTTTCGTATCCTCTGCTCAAGCCTAGAAATACAAGAAATCTCAAAATCCCTAGAAATCCATCACCGAAATCCTCCTTATCGAGCAGCGCCAGGTTTCCCTCGGTTCCCCAACCAACGCTCTCTTGAAAGGAAACGGCAAAGGCGATGTATTGGTCGGAGTAGTTTCTAGTCAGACCAAAGGTAGGGCCAACTTTGAACTCGACGGCCCCAGATGGCGCTTATGACTCCTGGCTTGCGAAGGACGTAGTTCACGAAAGATGTCATATTGATCGCCGAACCACAATGTCATTGACTTACCTAGGAGAAATGGGCAATAAATCCTCAGAGCAGACCAAGTCCCTGTTCAATATGCATTCTTTTTTCTCTGCAGTACTTGTTTCTTGACAGGGATTTCCATCCAAGTTTGATGAAGAGTATGGAAGTCATTTATCAAGCCATCAGTTAACAAACTAGAAAAGCTTGCAGATACCGTCTAATATGCTTGAGAAACATGTCGTGAGTCTCTCCGAACAATCCGGTTGGGGGGACAAAACTCATTTCTCCTGAGGTGTCGGACCTGCAATAGCAAGGCATCATTAAGTTCTACGAGTTCCATTAGTTTGTATGACATGATGATAGAGACTCTGAAGTGAATCCATTTAATGCTCAAGGTGGAGAATTCAGATGACCAAATGCTGTCGAACATAAGATTGATCGTTATTGAACGTTTTAGAATCGGTTCAACACTCGAGTAACCAAAAATAGAATTTGGCCAACATGTTTAGGAGTTCTAACGAGATTATTATCATTTCAACAAAAAAAAAAAAAACGAGATTATCATCTATGCAATTATCCGTCAGAAACTCCTCCCGGTGGACCTTCCAGTTTTACGTTTGAGAACAAACAAAACAGGGGAAAGGGCACTGTCCAGTGCGTGCAGTTTGTGAATAGTAAGTAGAAGACGCACCTTGTATGTCTCCAGCTTGTGGCACGTCGTCTCCATTCATCAAGGCCCTCGATGACTTGTAGCTCGGGGATTTCCTGGATTTTTAAATCCTTCAGGTTTTTCAAGTTTGATAAACCGCCTAGCCTTCTCATAGAATAGCACTTTTCGACTGAAAGCTTCTCCAAAGATTCCAATGCACTGAGAAATCGAATTTCAACTAGCCCTGCACAAGAAGATACCTCGGCTTCTTTCAGTTTCGCTATGGTTGACACAGTGCACAATCTCTCAAGGAGTTCGCACTCCGACACGGTCAACCTTTCCAACTGCGGAAGGCCATCGAGATGCATTTCATTCACTCGAGTGGCAAAGAGCCTCAATTCTATCAAATTTTTCAAGTTCGACGACAGTGAATCTATTGAATTGACATTTTTCAGTTCCAACTCCAGCAGAGAAGATGGAAGTTTCCTGACGATTTGCAGGTCCAGTCCAGTTAAAGTAAGCTGGCTGAGCAAAGGAAGAGAACTCAGCTTTGTAGGCAGTGAGGGGACATTTAAAATGCACAATTCCAACTTTTTCAGTTTGGATAGCTTCCCGATCCACTGTACGTCACAAGTTTGAACTATATTTGAAGGGTTCCCATTTTCAGAGCCATCATATAGGAGCAATTCAACTAAATTGGTAAGGTTTGAGATGTTAGGGACTATCTGCAGAGACTTGGATTTCAGACGCACAATGATTAAACTGTCGGGAAGCCCCGGCAACTCTTGAATCTCATCACAACCTTCTAAGTCCAGTGTTTGGAGGCGACGAAGCTTGCTGATAGTCCCGGGCACCCTAACAATCCGAGTATGCTTTAAGCTTAAGATTCTTAGCAAGGACAATTCTCCAATTTCAGGAGGAACTTCACCCTCTAGCTCTGGAAAATAATCCGCGTATAACTCTTCTAGATTCCTTAACCTTCCAATGATGCTAGGTAACTCCCATCGTGCTGCAAAATGACCCCCACCTAACAATTTGAATACTCGTAAAAATTGTAAGTTTTCCATGAAGGTGGGGCGTTCCTCAATCACATTGTGACTTACATGGAAAGACAAAAGACTCTGTAAATCATTGATGGAGTTTGGAAGTCCGGCAATCGGCGTGGATGAGATCTTGAGAGTTACCAAACGTGTTAGTCTACCAATAGAATCAGGTAATCTCGTAATCATCGTGGACGATACATCCAGCTTCATCAACAATGTTAATTGCGAAACAGAGTCAGGAAATTCACTCAAGCTGGAACAGTCCCTTACAGAGAAGTATTGAAGATTTAGTAGATCTCCAATTTTCTCAGGCAAATCTTGAAGTTTCTTGCACGAGTTAATATTCAAGTGAATGAGGCACCTTAGATTCCCAATGGAGCGATCAATTTTTACCAAATGAGCACAATGTTGAAGAGTCAATCTTTCTAAAGTTGAGCATTCAGGAAAACTAGGTGTTCTAGTTATGCCCAAACTATGTTCAAGAGTGAGAACTTTCAATTTCTTTCCCTCCTGCAAAAGTGAATGAACCACAAGACAAACGGTTAATTGCAAAAGTATTGCAATAGAGAGACCAAAACCGTTTTGATTCTTAAATTGAGACAGTTTTTCTGCTATAGGTTAATGCTAACATACCTTGATTAGGCTTTCCACCAAACCATCTGTGATTTGATCTCCTGAAAGCTCTGCCACAACTAGATTCTCTAGACACAAATTGGTTGCTTTAAAAACTTGAGGAGTTAGCCAAGAAGGATAATCCAAGTAACGCCAACGAATCCATTTCAATTCTGAAAGACAACCTGTAAAGTCCCCCTTGCAGGATACATCTTTTAACCAAAGGAACCACAGATGTTGAAAGCGTCTAAGCTCATCAGGAGTAACGATAACACGAGCATCTTCCCAAATTTCTCCTTGCAGTTTGAGTGCTTGAACATTTTCCTTACTCTGCCAATCCAAGCAAACAATGAGGTTATGTCTGCACAGTTTGTGTATTTGACTTCACATGTATCTTAAGCAATGATTTTCAAGTAAAAGGCGCACTTTGCCTCTGTTGATCTCAATATGTTAAGGGCATCATCATCATTCCAAACCCTACTTCGCTTGATTGGGTGCTTTAGATTTTCTTGACGAACAATCGCCCTTCCAAGATCTCTAAATTGATCATGCATCCAAAACTTACTACCATCTAAAAGCTTTATCATGGACATGTTGATGAGGACATCAATACTATGTCGGGGGCTAAAGTCACAATCTTTCCACACGTAAATTGGGTTAATCTTCTCCTCATTGATGAGAAAGCATGCAATATCAAGAAATATCTGTTGTTCATCACTATCTATGGCATCATAACTGATCCTCAACTTTCCCAAGACATCCCTATGAGGCGTTCTCCTTAATTTGTCCAATGTTTCTTCCCAGTATTTTCTCTCTTCGTGATGAGAAAGCAATGCACCTATTACTTGAAGAGCTAGAGGCAACCCTCCCATGGTAGAGACGATGTCTTTTGAAAGACTGTAGTAAGGATTTAGAGGAGAGTCTCTGCCAAATGCATGCCTAGAGAAAAGCTGAAGTGCGTCATCATCATTCAATGCCTCCATTTCATAAGATAGGATTTCATACTTAAATCCTTTAATTTTCAAAACCCTTCTTTTCCTAGTGGTAACAAGTATCCTAGTTCCAGGATACAGAGAATTCTTCCCAATTAGATCCTCGATTTGCTCGCTCTCGTCGACGTCATCGAGAACAATGAGCACCTTTTTATTGCCAAGTATTTCTCCAATCGTGTTCATTCCATAATCAGTTCTGTCGATGTTGCAAGCCACTCTAGAATTAACGATATCAGATAACAATTGTTCCTGCAACTTGACTAAGCCCTCGTTTTGTGACTTTTCTCGTACGTCATCAAGGAAACTGCTGTACTTTCCAAAGTAACAAGATGGTTGAAGATCATCTTGGCAAGAGTGGTTTTCCCAATACCACCCATGCCATAAATTCCAACAAGCCGCACGCCACCGGAGTTGATGTCTAATAAAGTGTTTATGGCCGATAAGCGATCATTGATCCCAACCAAATCATCAGTCACTTTTCTTTGTCTCGACTTAAGCTTATACATAACCTCGTCAACAACCAACTTGACAAGTTCCCCATGTCTGCCACAAAATCAAACCATTGTAGTTGAGACACAGATAACAATCCATGTATGCAGCTGGACCCTCAACCAAGTAGGAGGGGATTGGCGAGACTGTTTAGAATCTCATGACCTCAAAACTTGGCTATAAAATCTAGCAGAAATATTTTCCTTATGCAACATTAAAATTACTTTCAGCATGATTAGACTACAGCTCAAACCGAGCTGCGTGGTTTATTCAATCGTTATAAACTTTGTGGATGACCATGGTTAGTGTAAATCATGCATAAACAAATGTTTGTTTAGCATATAAAAGAATGATGTTCTCCACAATATGGATGCCAAACATTCATTAATTTGTGAGGACAAACAATGCACGTGAACGATATATGTAGAAATGGACAAATGGCAATATAAATTGAGCCTTCCGATGTATTGAGGCCTTAATGAAGATGAAGTTCAGAAGTCAACTGCCAAGAACTTTTTGTCTCAGAGGCATCTGCATCCTCTGTCAATTTTCCCATGGAAAAACTAATCAGAAGGTCCCCAGAGAATACTTGGGAAAGAAAACTATAAGGGCTTTTCTCTTTCAAATAATGAAAAAAAGAGTCCAGGAACAAAAAAGACTCAAAAGCTGAAGTCTTACAAGTATAAAAGTGAAAAGGATGCTTAGAACAGACAATTTTGATTTTTGAAGAAAGATTTTGATGTCTTATCGTATATAACTAGTTATTTCTCACATTTTATTAGAACAGTTCTGTTTTTCAAGAATTAGGTCTAGAAAAAGAAAAAAATTATAAATTGGTTACCCTTGATAGTTCTGCAGCTCCCATCCCTTGGTGTCATCGACTTCCCTGAGAGCCCGTCTCCACTTCTCTACTTCCTCTGGGCTGAACTTGCTCTTCTTCTGTTGCTCCAAATTCAATATGGCCTCGCTGTACAAGGCCGTTTTCAGCTTCACGTCATCGGGTTTCACATCGTAGAAGATGGGAATTATCACCTTCTTATTTCCATCTTTTTTAGGTTCAGAGGTGTTCTCCACCATCTTCGCAAGCTCACGGAGGCACCAATGACTCGAAGCGTAGTTCTTGGAGAAGATAGGCATGTAGATCTTTGAGTTGTCGATTGCTTGCAGAAGTTCTTCACTGATTCTTTCTCCAGGTCGAAGCTCTTCATCATCCATGAAAACACGGATCCCGGCATCGTTCATGCCATGACAGAGGGTGTTGGTAAATCCGCGACGAGTGTCGGGCCCTCTGAAACGCCTGATACTGAATTCCTTGTGGGTTGTATCTGCTTGTTCTGGCCTCCGAGTTTGCCATAAGGACTTGGTTTCCCCTCGTACTAGGGTCAGGTTTCGGTTTGGTTCGTCAAATATAAAAACAGAGGCCGACAAATACGAAGGAAATTCCGCAGCAGGCCAAGATGTTTGCTTAATATACCCAGAGTTTGTCGATAAACTCGATGACATTGTTCAATTAATTACTAACAGCTGTAGACGGTATCTTTTAAGCAAAGTATAGACGGACTTTCCAAGAGTTGGTTAGATGGACATGGAGCCATATTAGACATACCTAGAATTGCGATTTAGTATTTAAATAAGCTGACCTTGGACGGAATTTTCCAATACGAAGATGATATTGGTGAGCCTCGCAAAGTTTGCTCTTCGTTACCCTCTTCTGGTATTTCACGGGTGCAATTAAACGTCGGGAAAATTACACAAATAGTTCCTGATGTTGGCCAAATGTGCAATGTGATCTCTCAATTTTTAATTTATTTAATGTGATCCCTGAACTTTAACCTAATGTTCAATGTGGTTTCTAAACTTTTAATTTATACAATGTCGTCCCTAAACTTTTGATAAATGTTCAATATAGTCCTTCCATTAATTTAAGTTCAGGGCTACATTGAACATGTGCCAAAAGTTCAGATACCACATTAGACAAATTAAAAGTTTAGAAAACACATTGAACATTAAGCTAAAGTTCAGGGATCATATTGCACATTAGAAAAAACTTCAGGGACTATTTGTGTCATTATCCCTTGAACATTTGATTTCAACAGGGTCGGGCCCTTTAAAACTCAAGATGTTCTTCGCTAATTCTACGCCAAAGTCATTCCTTTCCCACTTGATATTGACATGTTTGATAGAGATATGGCAGAATATGTTGGGAAAATTGTCCAAAAAGTCGTAAACCTATTGTACTTTTGCCAATTCAGTCATAAACCTTTTAATTTTGCCAATTGAGTCCCAAATATTTACATGATTTGTCGATTGAGTCCAACTGGCTAAGTTTAGCCAAAAATTGCTGACATGGGCGATGGTCGTCCTACGTGACGCGACCAACGCTGACATGGATAATTTTTTAATAATATTTTAGTATTTTTCTTCAATTTTTTCCTTTCTTTTTTTTTTCTTTTCTTTATCTTTTTTTCTTTACCTTTTTCTTTCCTTCTTCCTCCTCTGGCTGGCGAGGCTACTGGCAAGGTCGAGCCTCACCATCATTGGGCGAAGCGCGACCTTGCCAAATCTAGCGAGGCTGAGCCTCATCCAGCCATATCGAGCCCGACCTCGCTGCCTCACCAATGATGGCAAGGCGCAACCTCGCTAGATCTAGCAAGGCCCGTCCTCACCGGCCTTCACCTTTGGCTGATCGTCGATTGTCGCCAACGCCCAACAACCAGCTAGAGGAGGAAGAAGGGAAGAAAAATAAATAAATAATAAATAAATAAATTCAAAAAATATTGAAATATTATTAAAAATTATCCACATCAGCTCTTGCCGTCCTACGTGACATAACTGGTGTCCTCTTCAACGATTTTTGGTTAAAATTGGACGAATGGACTCAATTGGCAAATTGGCAAAAAGATTTAGAACGCAATTGGCAAAATTGAAAAGTTTAGAACTCAATTGACAAAAGTGCAATAAGTTTACAACTTTTTGAACAATTTTCCCGCACATGTCACCTCAGTGCAGGATTTCAAAAGTTTCTCAACTTGTGAAAATGGAAATTAAAAAGGATCAGTGATTCCATATATCAACTACTCATGACCATGTCGGTTCAATTCCATAAAGATGAAGTCAAAGAGATTCGACCAAAAAAAAAAAAGTCAAAGAGGACATAGAAATTTACATCTTTCACTAATTGTGCCAGACACCCTGAAAGCCTTGTACAAAAACACAATGGACCTGACCCTGGACGAGTCTGCGGGTCTAGTCAAGGGAAAAGTTGGCAAAAGTTAACTCGGTGGAAATTTCAAAGCCCCGTCATTAGAATAAGTATGACCCTTAACTTAGATGTCAGATAACCCGGTGAGTTACCAACATTATCAGAAATTTACTAACAACCAAAAGAATCGGTGAAGGGCAATATTTTCGAAACTTTCTCCAACCAATTGAGAAGTGGGGTCGGATTATTAGCTTAGTTTTCTCCAGATTAGATGAGTGAGCAATACAGAAAATGATAAAGGAATAGCAAAGATTAATGAAAAAATGTGAGCAACTATCAGATCAATTCTACCTTATATATTTATTTTCACGGATGGCAACTTTAGCACATAACACAACCAAAACATAGGCCATTACGATCTTGACACCAATTGCATCTTAGAGAAGTTGCCTTATTGTTTGAAACAGTTTTCAAACATCCCTAATCATATGAAGGTAAATTGCGAGCAAAACCTTCACTCAACAACTTGTCACTTTCCCTGCAAGCATAAAGGCATCATAGACCACGTTCCTCACCAGCTTTGTACCACTCCAAACCCTCTCAAACTTGTTACAGCCCCCTCACTCAACAACTCCACTCCCTGTTCTTTAGCCGTCATTGTGGACCACTACCTTAAGATCCCCATAAATCCATCGAAAGAAACCTCCTTCGGTATGTCGAGTCGCATTGGGTTACTCTCAGATCCCAAACCGACACTCTCAAAAGGGAACGGCAATGTCTTGTATTGGTCAAACAAGTACCGGATGTTAGGATTCTAGTAAGGAAGTGCCGCGTCGAGGAACTTTTTTAGTATCGGATCAAAGGTAGGGCCGACTTGGATGGATTGATAGCCCCATACCACAATCATGCCCTCCGGCTTGCAAAGGACACGGTTCGCGAGGGAGTAGAATTTGGGGAGGTCGAACCAATGTATGGCTTCAGCCACAGTCATATCATGGCTAACAATTTGTCGTCTGAGATGGATAGCGGAGTGTGGATGTACCGAACGCAGGGATGCAGGATGCCATGATTTAGTTGCGACTCACTCACGTCCGTGGCAATCACTTGCTAATAATGTTTTGCAACCTACATTCCGCAAGGGAAATAAAGCAATGGAAACATGTGGCCAAGGAACAACACTAATATGGATTCCTAGGCATGTCAAGTTCGATTTTACCAGCACAGAAAAAATTTGTTCTTCTGGAGAACAGAACAATATAATCGTCAGCATACAGTACTAAATTGTTTACTGTTGGCTGTGTAGCTAGCAGTTCATATAAAAAAAAGGTGGAATGAAAAAATTACATCTAGCTCAATAATAAATCAAATAGTGATAGTTTAGATCAAGAAGAAAGCAGTCCTCAAATAGCAGCATAATCACCACCGCAATCGCGCGAGGAGAGAGAGAGAGAGAGACCCCAAGAGCAGCTTTGACCAACGTCCCAAGCCAAGGCGTGGCGGGGGGTGAGAGCGGCCAGCTTCTGGTACCACTCCCTCGGATATGTCGGCCTCGTATCCGCGTATAGGTCGACTTGCTTATCGAACAGCCCAGCCATCACTCACTCACAGGCTTTCTCTCTCTCTTTTCTTCAACTTGAACTCGCATATATCATACGAAACTTCTCAAATAGGGATCGAGTCAGCATGCGAATGCCATGACAATTACTTTGAGAAATTTAGAGGGACCGTACTCGACTTTAGCTTTCTTTTCCGACTTTGTAAAGTGGAGCAAGCAAAATCGAACTTGACATGCCCACTAACCCAGGTCTATGAATACTCTCTTCGCTGTGACTACTTTTATGTTTAGTCAACGAGGTTTTGGATATATGAAATCCGAGGAGAAGTGACAAAAATGATTCTTTAAATTGTAGGAATTTCGATATTTCCGCTTTGTAAGGGTCTATGATTGAAGAATACATAAAAATTTGGCTGAGTAGTGAGAAAGATCTCTTTTTCCTGCCTTATATAGACTTTGTTCGCATGGTACCTCCCCTTGTTGAAGCTTGCCAGCTATAAGGCACAAGTTGTTTATTTTCTTTTATTTTTTGGGCCAGTAGCTATATGTTATTTGTTCAAGTAATAATTGTTGGAAAACATTCTTATGAGATTTTGATAATTACCAAACTATCTCTATCACTAATGGTTATAATGATGAGTACATATGGTGAAACAAGTTATAAATATCAATGATCCTCCATATCAGTAATGATGAGATACTAGTCATTGACGTTTGAGAGAACAAGTACCAATAAGAGTATATTGCAGTAGCTTGAAAGGGCCAGTCAAGCTAGTGATCTTAGAAGTCCTTGGCACTGATGAAGATGGAAAGATCACTGATAGCAATATCGTGTGACTTTCAGTTGGTATTATCATTGAAGATGTCAACCTGGTCAATTAGTATTCGCACCGATGATAGTGTGTATTAGATGGATATAGTGATGTATCGGGTCTGATATGCACTACAAGAAGACCGTTGATGGTTTAGAATATAGACGTTGAAGCACTGGATTCCGTAGCTGAAAAATCGAGTCATATAGTAGAAAAGCAGCTGACAGATTTCAGAGACAAAACTGCTGACAATGTACATTTTAGGTAATTTGCTCTAACGGTGAAGCAACTCTAGAAGCAATCCCAATACTGGCATAATAGCTCCCAACATCTCTCAAATGGCCAGTTGATCGTCCTTGAAGGTCTCCAAGGGACATATTGAAGACCAAAGTATATAAAGAGCAATGATGATGTTAGAAGAAAAAAATTGGATAATAAATTTCTCAATACATTGTACTTGTCATATGAACTAGTTTTCTTTGTATCTGGTTAAGCACTGTAATAGCTTATAGTCAGGTTTATAAGAGTAAGTGCAGTGATTGTGTATCCCAATAGTGTGATCTATCAACTAAAAGGGGACCGCACTGGCCGATTGTAACTTGCGTTGATGATTACTAATGGAATTTGACCCCTGTTAAAGTTGTTAGTCTAAGAGCGGACGTAGGCTTGGTTATAAGCCAAACTACTATACATCAATGTGTGATCTATTGTCTTAACTCTGATTTACTTACCAGGATCACACGCGCTAATCCGTTTGCATCACCATTTTTAGTGTTAATTGTATGATATTCCACAAAAGTTTTTAGATATCAACACTCAACCTATTCAACCCTCCTTCTAGGTTGCTTTATTAGCCCAACAATAATAGGTGATTGAATGAAATCTAATTATTTGGGAAGGATTAAATTCTCTTATTCAATAATTTAATTCGAGTTACCCAATAGATCAAGATTATTGGGTAAAATGGATCCTGACGTGTCTCAACATTAAAGATGATACATTTGGTATATAAGCAATGATTTATTTCTTGTAAAGGAATAAAAATGGAGAGTATTGTAACATATTCTGTAGAGACACTCGTGTTTTGGCTGTAGTTCCGCGCAATCAGTTGGGCTAGGCCTATAGCGTTAAGGAAACCCCTCACACATCTCATGAGCCACAGTCCTAGGCTTTTGATGGGACTGCGGAGCTAGATCTAGTCAGACCTAGGAAATTTGATTGATGATATCATATGACCACAGTTACTAGAAATAATGAGCTAATTCAAAAAAAAACACAAATTTTATCTTCAATGATAATTATAACCCGAACTTTTTTTGTCTCAATAAAAATTACTAACTTTTTTAATCGAGCCTCAAATTTCCCCCCACCCCCCCCGTTAACCAAAGATTGAGATCTTGTAGATTATTACAAACATTTGGGCAGGACACAACTTTAGAATCTCCTTAACTATACTTCCCAACAAAATCCACTTATTAATGCCCATCACTAGAATCCGATATAATAAATAAGATCAATTGATTAATGTCCATTCAACATAGACTTGGGCTTGTTTCAAAAAAAAGGTTCTGGTCATGAGGTTAGAGGATCTCGTCCATGGCGTCTCTCGACGAGTTCCACAACTTCAGATTACGACGAAATGGTGGAGGCTAGCCAGAGAGATTCAGTCTGGAAATCTTTTTAACTTGCCGGTGAAGTGAAGGAGACTATGAACAACTTCACCGTTATTCTTCAAGCTGTGGCTAAGAAAATAAGATAATGAATAGTGCTTGAAATCCAGCTAGCAAGCGACGTGGATTTATTACTGAGGTGAAATAGTCACGTTAGACAATTAACGATTCCAAGTCAACTGGTCTAGATTTTTTACCCAAAAAAACAGGACTACATTTGGGATTTAAGTGAAAATTTATGATTTTTTGTGAGACAAAAGAAAAGTTAAAGCCAAAATTGTCACTCAAGTTAAAGTTAATGTTTTTTTTTTAATAAGGTCAAATAACGTCAGTTGTTCATCCCTTTTAGAGGCTTCTTACTAGGGTTGTCAATGGGTCGGGTTGGGTCGGGTTTTCATTATGCCCGACCCGACCCGACCCGATATGATGAACATATGTGTTTGGCCCAACCCGAGACAAGACCCAAACAAGATATAACTGCATGATCGGGTTGGGTCGTGTCGGGCCGGGCCGGGCCGGGCCAAGCCGGGTTTTGTGTTTCATATTTTAATTTTAAATTAATGTTAAGTTATAGCAGCTTCCGCCTTGGCCACAGCCGCCTCCTCCTCTTCCTTCGTACCTTCCTCTCCCACCGCCACCGTAGCCGCCCCTTTGTAACCGCCCCTGCTATAGCTAAGGATCCTTTGGGTTCAAGAAGACATAAACAAGGATGAAGAGGACATCAGACCAAGCAGTTGAAACGCCTCCATTAAATACAGAATTTCGAAAATTATTTACAATGATTTCAAAGATTGCAAAAAATCGATCCACTTATCTACCTTCAGATCTGAAAGACTGAACCCTTTTCAAACGTAAGCAAATGTAGATGAACAAAACATGTAACCTTCGATTTTCAGCTTCTAGAACACTTCATTCACAAACGTTGGACGACCGAAAATGACCAAAGGAAAGAATCCTCGACGGTCCTGAAATCGATGAGGATAACGAGTCGCACTTGATCTTGAACTCGATGGTCTCGCCCTCAGCGAGGCTGCAAAAGCCCTCAAACTGGATGGAGGACTGGTGGACGAAGAGATTCTCGGAGCCGTCGTCGGGGGTCATGAAGTCGAAGCCTTTCTGGTCGCTAAACCACTTGACCTTCCCTGTTATTCTTTCGGCCATGGCCCCTTTCGGAATCGACTTCACCGCCTCAGGAACCGCAGATAGCAACAAACCCTACCTACCCAGAAGATACGAGAGAGTGCGTGAGAGAGATGTGGAAGAGAGATGTTTCATTGTTTGGGTTGGGCTAGGTACCCGAGCCCAATAAACCCAAAACAATTAGTTATTGTTTTGATTGTTACCCAAACAAGTCGAGGCTCAACCCGACCCAATATGAAAAATTTTGGGTCGGGTCGGGTCGGGTCGAATCGTATTTGACCGGGTTATTTTGACAGCCCCACTTCTTACAATCGTAATTAAGAAATGTATATCGACACATATCCATCCAGACAAATCAGTTTTAAAAGCTTATAGAAAAGACTTATGTAATTGTGGTAGTTAAACATGTGGCAGCACGAGACATCTGATCCACTTATATTTGTTTATGGATCTATAACATTTAAAAGTTATTATGCGCGTCCGATTCATGTGTGCCATCAACTTTGATGGCCCCACAAAGGACCCAAATTATAAGATAGTTCACATGACTTAAGTGTATGTAAAAATTTCTCAATTACATTCGTGTCAACGTTTGCATTTATCAGCTAGAAAAAAAAAACATTTGAAACTTATCTTTACATTTTAAAGAAGCATCCAATAGTAACTTCACTCTCAAACTTCTATGAAAGAATTCCATCAAATTCCGTGCCTACATCTCTACAATTAATATAACAAATCAACTGGTTTATTCAACCTTACCAAATTAATCCACGAAAAACCATGCCTAAATTTAAATTAACTAAAAATATATATTTATATGAATATAGATGAACAAAATAGTAATTTATGATAATTAAGATTCGTCAAATAATCAATCACTATTTCTAACTTCCTAATTTTAATTCAACATAATCATCAAGCATTCTATAAATCACTCATCTTCCCAATTTTACAAAAATTATAATTATATTCTCAAATACACTTATCGTACACATTAAATTTTGGGCGGCATTATTTTCATTCCCTATGTGACTAAATCTACCCAATTTTCACTAAAGAGACAAAATTGCCCTCTATCATATAATCGCAATTTAAGTTAGTGGTCTCAAATTTATTTACTTTCCTTTTTTTAGTTTTTTTATTTATGTACAATCTACTTACCATAATTAAGAATTTCATATGTTTAGTTTTTGTTTGTTGTAGATTTTCCAAGTATATAAAAGGTACTATGTTTTTTTATTGTTATATATTGCTTCCATAAAATTTTGTTTTGTCGAAAAGAGAAATTTACAAAAAAAATCTTGTTCTTTTCTATGTTGTCGATCAAAATTACGGATAAACTATTAAGTAGATAAAATTTGATTAAATCCAAACATTGCATAGAGTAAAAAATACTTTTGAAAATGCCAATGAAATATCATTATTTTGGATTGACAAAAATTAATATCATCCACGAACTACTTACGAATAAATATCAAGATGCATCATTGTGCATAATGTTTTTAGTGTATTCCTAGATATTTTTCTAATATCTCACCTTTCTGTATAAAAGTATCTCGCCAATATAGTAAGGAAAAAAGATAAATTCTTTTATATAGTAAATAAAGAAATTTGATATATATTATAGACTAATGAAATTAACAAGTAGTTCACTAACAAAGCGAGCTTTTTAGTTAAGAGGGACAAAGAAGAGATAAATTGCTATAAGATCAATGATGATGAAGAGACTTTTCAGTTTTATACTATATCAAAGATTATATTTTTCTTAATATTGGCGAAATAATTTTACGCAGAGCGTGTAAAACGTTATAGAAGTATCTGAGAATGCACTTTTCTTTAATACGCTAAAAAACAAAACATGCGAAATGCTTAATTATGGTAACTATCTTAAATAGAAAAAGAAAAAAATAGAAAAAAGAATGAGTGAGGCCATCGCTTTAAATTGCACTTCAAAGATTGATAGTAGTTTTGTCTTTTTCGTATAAATGAGGTGGATTTAGTTATTTGGGAGTGGAAATAGCGTCACCCTAAATTTTTTACCATATTGTAGGTTTGTCCATCAAACCAAGGACTTTATGATACAACAAATTAACGCAATTAATGACGTAAAGTTAATGTATGGATTTTATATATATAGGCTGCAAATTGATACTGCCCCCTATAAGATGACAACAAATGATAATCTTGATCTCAGCTTCATTTATTATGAAAGTTATTGTTGTATGAAATGAAAAATATAGACGGATTAAGTACCGACCACAAACACCAAATGCTCACATAAATCCATATGCCACGTGTCCACAGATTTTATTCCCAGAATAGCGCGAGATCTCCACAACTTTATGATGATTTTGTTTAAGATGCCTAACTAAGCTTAGCTCTAGCTTGACATGTCGACCCAGCAACTTATTCGTTGCTTCGGCTTTTGGATTTACACGACGAACACGACAGGATCAAACTGGTGGGAAGTGCGACTTTGGACTAGATTATTGCAAACAGACGAAGTGCAAGATTTGTTGGGACATCTTCCCCATTCGTGATCGATCCTGACAATAATTCCGGGATACGTTTGGCCCTACACATGCTTGTGCTCATTGGCCTTGAAGAGTCCTAGCTAGCCAAAACCTAGCAACAGTGCATCTAGTTTAGTCATATGCATCATTATCAATTATAATAGACAATTTAATATAGAGGTTACTCAAACTTTTCGCATGATTTTGACAATAAACCATTTGTGGGTTCCGATGTATGTGTGCTATATGGCCAGATACGCCATGCATGGTCGTTGCTCTCAGTGTCATTCTTTTCTTGTTCGGTTGTGTAAATCTATTTCTATACGATAGCATATGTACGCGAGGAAAGTGTTGGCCTTAATCTGAAGCGAATGTGATTGCCCAAAATCTAGTAAATTCTATGGCAATCTAGTGTAAGAAACTTCTTAAAGAGACCAATCACTCAGAGATATTTGAGAGTAGGAAATTAAAGCCCAAAGAAAACAGCATACCTTTCATGATATTTCTATGTGAAAAAGAAGAACCCAGTCGCAAGCTGACGCTTGTATTGGTCCATTCAAAATCTTCTCTCTGTAAGACTCCCAAGTGAGGCTTGAACCATATTGATGAGTGTCGAACTCCCCACAATCCCATATTGCTATCTGGCACTCATTTGGTATTTTTGAGCTTGATGCATAAAAAATCCTTTCCATTGAGCCGCACCTATAAACTTCCAACAAATGCAAAAACTCTAACTCGTCAATGCCATCAACAACCTGCAGGCTCTGGCACTCTCCAATTTCTAAATACTTCAAATTCTTCAAGTTTGACAAACCGTCTATACATTTCAACGAAATGCACTCTCGAACAACAAATTCTTTCAATGATTCCAACGTTGACACAAATTGAATCTCCTGTAGCACCGCACACCTCCGCAGATTGAGTTTTTGAAGCATCTTTAGGGAGCTTGAGACAAGGGACACTCTCCTCCAACCATCAGTCAACTCAGGAGCTTGTAGCTCATTGCACCCTTGCTCCTCCGACAAACAAACCAACCTCTCGAAAGATTCGCATCCATTAATAGATAATCTCTCCATCGATTTTAAGACACCAAGAAATTGAACTTCAACTAGCTTGCTGCAAGAATACACATCGGCTTCTCTGAGTTTTCTCAAACTTGATCTAATGCATATTTTTGTGACGAGCTCACACCTTGTGATAGTCAGCTTTTCCAACTGAGGAAGCCCATCGAGTTCTGCTTGTTTCACTTGAGTGTTATCGAGCATTAGAACTGTCAAGTTTGACGGAAGTTGTTTCAGCGTTTGCAAGTCTAGTCCATAGAGGTAAAGTTCTTCCAGCAAAGAAAGGGAACGCCACTTTGCAGACAATGCGTGGACATCTAAAAGGCTCAAGTACTGCTTGCTCACTTTGGATAACCTCTCAATCCACAGCAAGTTGCAAGGCTGAATTATATTTGATTTGTTATGACCTTCAGAGGCATCGGATAGGAGCAGTTCAACTAGATTAGTAAGGTATGAGAGGTTAGGGACAATCTGCAACAGATCAGATCTAAGCTTTAGAGTGCTCAAACTTCCGGGGAGCTTCGGCAACTCCTGGATCTCATGACAATTATATAGGTCCAGTGTATGGAGTTGACTAAGCTTGCTCATTGTCCCAGGCAGTTTCTCTATGTTTGTGTGTGATACATTGAGAGATGACAAGCTTTGTAGTCTACCAATGGAATCTGGTAATCTTGTAATGCTCGTCCTTGATACATCCAGCTTCGTCAATGACTCTAATTTCGAAACTGAGCCAGGGAGTTCCCTCAAGCTGCGACATTCCACAAGGGAGAGGCGCTGAAGATTCTTTAGTTCGCCAATTTGTTCGGGCAATTTTTCAAGCGCCTCGCAAAACTCAACACTCAATTCTGTCAGCCACCTTAGTTTCCCAATAGAGCAATCAATTTCCTTCAAATATCCGAAACCATAAATAGTCAACTTCTCTAAAAGTGAGTGTTCGGAAAAGGTTGGTGTCCTATGTATCAACTGACTATGTTGAAGAGTGAGAACCTTCAATTTCCTTGCCCCCTACAAAAGCCAATGAAACATCAAGACAGAGAATTAGATGTCTGTACAAGAAAAAGATAATTTGGATTTAGGCTTCCAACTTGTATCGTATGTCATTTGATCCTCTCACTAAATGAGAAAATTAGACTGTAAATTCATTAAATTTTGTCCTTTATTGAGAAAATTAGACTAAGGGGGATTCTAACATACCTTGATTAAACTCCGGACCGCATCTTCTGTCCACTCATAGCCACGAATATACATCACAACCACGTTTTCTAGATGCAAATTGGTTGCCATAAACTGTGGATCGAGATTGCCGCTCAAATTAAAGTAACCCAAATCAATCCATTTCAACTCGGAAAGACAGCCCGTAAAGTTGCCTTGGCAAGTTACATTACACAACCGAAGACACCGTAGATGCGGGAACAGTTTAATTTGCTCCACAGTGACAGTCATTCGACCTTGATTCCGTGACTCTAAATCGAGTGCTTGAACGCTTTTGTTGATCTGCCAATGACATTGAGGAGAAAGAGCAAAAATTTGTCAATATCCCACAATTTTATTTCGTCGAAGAGAAGAAAAAATGAAACAGAAAAGTAGCTCCCCATTCAGAAACGGCAATCCCCAATTAAAAACAGGGTAAGCAATTTTCAATTCAAATTTGGCCATACTTTACCTCCGTTGATCTTAATTCGCGAACGATGTCCTCTCCATCCCACAACCTGCTACACTCCTGACTAGTAATTGCCCTGCCAAGATCTCTAAATTGGTCATGCATCCAAAAACTATCATCGTCTAAAAGCTTTATCATGCACCTGTTAATAAGGACATCAATAGCATACTCTGGGCTAAACCCACTATCTTTCCACATGTACATTGGATCGGTCTTATTCCTACCAATGAAAAAGCATGCAACATCGAGAAATATCTGTTGTTGACCCGATTTCAAGGTATCATAGGTAATCCTTAACTTTCCCAAGACATCATCATGAGGTGTTTTCCTTAGCTCCTCCAGCATCTCTTTCCATAATGTTTTGTCTTCCTGACCAAAAAGCGACGAACCTATTGCTTGAAGAGCTAAAGGTAGTCCACCCGTAGTAGAGACAATGTCTTTTGAAAGAGTGTAGTAATTGGCTGGAGGAGAGTTTTTATCGAAGGCATGCCTGCTAAAAAGTTGAAGTGCGTCTCTCTCACTCAACCCTTCCATTTCATAGGGCACAATTTCATACTTAAATCCCCTAATTTTCAGAACCCTTTTGTCCCTAGTGGTAACAAGTATCCTAGTACCAGGATACAAAGAATTCCCTCCGATTAATTTTAGGATTTGGTTGCCATCATCGACATCATCCAAAACAATCAATACCTCCTTGTGGCAAATTGTTTCTTTAATCACTTTGTTCCCATCGTCACTGTTAACAATGTTGCGAGGCACTCTAGAATTAGAGATATCGGACAATAATTGTTCTTGCAGCTTGACTAAGCCCTTGGTTTTTGCGGTTTCCCTTACGTCATCAAGAAAGCTGCAGCTTTTCCCAAAGCGAGGACATAGTTGGTCGAAAATTATTTGAGCAAGTGTCGTTTTACCCATGCCGCCCATTCCGTAAATCCCAATAAGCTGCACACCACCCGAGTCGATGTCTAATAAATTGCTTATGGCTGCTATTCGATACTCTGTTCCAACTAAATCTTTGGTCACTCCTCTTTGTCTTGTCTTGAGTCTATCCAAAACCTCGTTAACAACCGTCTTGCTTAGATCCCCATCACTGCCACAAAGTTGAACAGTTTCAATTGAGAAAGAGTAACAAATTCATTTCCTTAAATGTTCACCAACCATATACTAAGTCAACTAATTTCAATCTGATTATCTTAAGCATTGTTCCCATGGAAAGAAACGTTAAAGTTATGGACGAATAACATAATCATAACATATTATAGTTATACCAAAAAAAAACAATACTTGCGCAAAACCAATTTAAAAGAACAGAAAAGGAGTACATAAATAAGTGGTTCTTATTCAAATACCTGACAAGTCTTTGTCTCATCTCTTTTGTAGATCAATTTTCATAAACAAATCAAAAGGCAGAATCCACTCAGTTAAGCGATGGAGCCAGGAATCTAATGTTGATACTCTCTATTATTGCATCCAAGAAAAAGGCAAAAGAACACTACAAGTGCCATAACTTGTGTACGGCGCTCACTTTGGTGCCATAAGTTTTTTGGATCACTTTAGTGCTAAAATTTTGAAAAACGATCACTTAAGTGCTAAAGTTTTTGAAAACGATCACTTAAGTGCCAACTCCGGTGCCGTACACAATTTTTCGCCGGAAATCCGACGTGGCATTTTTTTATTAATTTCTGAAGCCGACGTGGCTCGCGGAGATTGGCACTTAAGTGATCGTTTTTCAAAAATTTGAGCACTTAAATGATCGTTTTTAAAAAATTTTAGCACTTAAGTGATCGTTTTCAAAAATTTTAGCACTAAAGTGATCCAAAAAAACTTATGACACTTAAGTGACGTTTTCCTCCGACTTGGCACCAAAGTGATCCGAAAAAAGTTATGGCACCAAAGTGATCTCCGTACACAAGTTATGGCACTTATAGTGTCCTTTTGCCCAAGAAAAACCACCACGTAAGAAACCAAAAAAATTAAGTGAAGAAAAGTGTTCTTGTTTTTTTACCGAAATTAAACTACTAAACAGCATTTAATTTTGCGAGCTCATGTTTTCGAATGGTAATCGTGTTCAAGAACACTAAAAATTTACCACTACATTGTTATTTCACTTACAACAAGAAAAATTAATTTCTATCCAGTGTCTTGAAATATATATATACACACATGTGCGCGCGCCATACTCTCATGAGGGCAAAAGTACACCACAAGTGCCATAACTTGTGTACGGCGATCACTTTGGTGCCATAACTTTTTTTCGGATCACTTTGGTACCAAGTCGGAGGAAAATCGATCACTTTAGTGACTCCGGCCAAAATTCCGGCCAAAAAGCTGACATGGCATTTATATTAAAAAAAAATGGTATGACTTGTACACGGTGGAAAATACGTGGCTTTTTTTCGAATTTTTTAATTTTTAGAAAAATAATAATAATTAAAATAATTAAAAACAAAAAACAAAAAAGGTGTTGCAGCAGCGGCAAGGCTCCCTCGCCGCTGTTGCCGCCAAGCCACCACCGCCGGGAAGGGCCGGCGGTGGTGGGCGCAGTGGTCGGCGAGGGTCGCCGGCCCTTGGCCGGGGCCCGGCGACCCTCGCCTCGCCCAGCGAGGGCCGGATCCGGCGAGGCGAGACCTCGCCGTCGCCTGGGTCGCGACGGCGAGGCCCCGCCTCGCCTTCGCTAGGCGAGGCCGCACCTCGCCGTTGCGACCCGGGCGACGGCGAGGTCGGCCTCGCCTTCGCTGGGCGAGGCGAGACCTCGCCGTCGCGACCCAGGCGATGGCGAGGTCCCGCCTTGCCCGGCCGAAGGCGAGGCGAGACCTCGTCGCCGCCTCGGGTCGCGACGACGAGGCGCGGCCTCGCCTTCGGCCGGGCAAGGCGGGACCTCGCCATCGCCTGGGTCGCGACGGCGAGGTCTCGCCTCACCCGGCCGAGGCGAGGCCGACCTCGCCGCGCCGGGTCGCGACGGTGAGGCCCCGCCTCGCCTCGGCTGGGCGAGGCCGCGCTCGCCGTCGCGACCCAGCGACGGTGAGGTCGGCCTCGCCTTCGCCGGGTGAGGTGAGGCGAGACCTCGCCGTCGCCCGGGTCGCGACGGCGAGGCGCGGCCTCACCTTCGCCGGGCGAGGCGGGACCTCGCCGTCGCCCGGGTCGCGACGGCGAGGCGCGGCCTCGCCCGCCGAGGCAGGCGAGACCTCGCCATCGCGACCCAGGCGACGGCGAGGTCTCGCCTCGCCGGATCCGGCCCTCGCCGGGGGTCGGCGAGGGTTATCGAGCCCCAGCCAGGGGCCGGCGACCCTCGCCGACCACTGCGCCAACCACCGCTGGCCCTTCCCGGCGGTGGTGGCTTGGCGGCAGCAGCGGCGAGGGCTCCCTCGCCGCTGCTGCAGGGCTTTTTTTTTTTAAATATTTAAATTAATTAAATTAAATATAATATAATATTTTAAAAAAATACACGTCAGCGGGCTAAACGGCGTCGTTTTTGGTTTTTAATGCTGACTGGACCTCTCCGGCGAGCCGTGTCAGCGCCACATCGGATTTCCGGCGAGCCACGTCAGCATTGACACTAAAGTGATCGATTTTCAAAAAAGTTGGCACCAAAGTGATCTGAAAAAAAGTTATAGCACCAAAATGATCGCCGTACACTATTTATGACACTTGCGGTGTACTTTTGCCCTCTCATGAGAGTTTTATCCAATAATTTACTTTTCATAATCAATCTACCGAGTAGTCATATGGGTTATCACATGTCTATTTGTATGGACATTTGTCTTTATGATTATGAGGCAACTATTTCTTTCCCCTTTTTGCGTGGGTCAGGCCGCAACTAGAATTTATCCAAAGAAAAAGGCACGAACCGAAGGGGACTGGAACAAGATGGACTAAAGACTCGATAAGAGTTCAACGTTACCCTCAAAACTTGAGGAACATGATGGATTACAAACCTGAACATCCACTACAAGTTTAAGTTGAGGGAATAGAACAAAAGAAATGTTTGATCTTTGAATCAAGTAGAAGAATCAAAATATGATGTGTGGTTATTTACTGCAATATTAGATTTATTTAGTTCTTTTGACGTGGAAAGCAACTCTACAAATGCAACTGCATACAGGTTCATATCAATTTCTCTAGCATACATTTGGAATCCTAATACATACATGGATCAAAAGTTAGTATGAAAAAGATTAAGCAAAGCCAAATTTTTATACTGTGGAAATCAGGTCCAAAATGAAAATATAATAAAACTATTAGGTGAGAAAAAAAATGGATATGTCGTGATTAAGAAAAAACTAAAAGGAGAATTTGAGACTTTCTAGTTAAATTCAGCAAAAATGGGGTAGGACCATAATTAATGAATTTTTATTAGATCTGTGGTCTAATTGTAAAAAGTAAATTTCACATTCACAATTAGATGGTTACCCTGAATATTTCTCCAGCTCCCACCCCTTGGTGTCATCAACTTCGCAAAGAGCATGCCGCCACATCTCTACTTCCTCTGTGCTGAACTTTTTCCTCAGACCAAAAGACCACCACTTCTTTTGATCCTCCTTCTGTTGCTCCAACTTCGATATGGCATTTTTGTACAACTCCGTTTTTAGCTTGACATCATCAGGTTTCACATCATAAAAGATAGGCAATATCACCTTCTTATTCTCATCTTTTGATTTAGAGGTGTTCTCCACCATCTTCGCAAGCTCGCGGAGGCACCAGTGACTAGAAGCGTAGTTTGGGGAGAAGATTGGTATGTATAGCTTAGAGTTGTCAATCCATCGCAGAAGGTTGCCACTAATTATTTCGCCCGGTCGAAGCTCTTCGTCATCGATGAAAACGTGAACACCAGCATCTTTTAAGGCATGGTAGAGGACGTTGGTGAATCCACGACGAGTATCAAGCCCTCTGAAACTCAGGAACACCTGATACTCGCCTCCTAATGTGTTGCCGGTGCTCGTCCCTGCCTCTGAGTTTGCCATAGGAGATCACTTCGCAATTAGCGGGGTCATCGCCTCCTCTCTCTCTCTCTCTCTCTCTCTCTCTCTCCAGTAGGCACTGTTGAAGTAAGTTTTCATCGAGCACATCATACCGGGTATAAGTAATTTCGCACGAAGCCGAAGATGTTCAGCCAATCCCGAACACAAGCCGGTGACTTTAATATTGAAGTCTCGACGAAGACTTTTTAAGACTTATTAGAGGACCATTGAAATACTATTAATTTCACAAAGACTCGAGATATGAGCCAACTACCTATCGATTCGACAGATTAAAATTAACTTAGCTGACCAATAGATTCAGCGAGTTTATTCTGGTCTAATTCGGAGGCTGTATGATCGGTTCAGACATCAACAACAATGGTAATACAGTATTTCCAACTTGGAGAGAAGTGGCCTTATTATAAAAATTATGAAACATTTACTTCCCATCATGAACAGGACATGCTATGGCGACGTCAAAATTTATTGTTAGAAAATTGTTACACTTCAACTTTAAATATGACCCATTTACCATCAAATTGGATTTGCCTCATTCTCTGCAAAAAATGCTCCACCTGAGCGCTCCCTCAGCATATATTTACCATTTACCATGGAGTATTTGTTTTGATCTCTTTGCCTTTATGACTTGCCTTATGTTAATAAGCAAAAAAATTGCACAAATCTTTTGCAACCGTTATTTCTTTATTGATAATTATTAGGAGGTGAGCACCGTACAGATGGTGCAATTTGGATGTCAAACCAAACCAAACTACATAAGTATGATTTGAAGTAAAATAAAATCAACTAAATCGTATTATAGTCAAGAACCGACCACGGTCCAGTTTGATATTTTAACCATTTTTCTTCAAAAAGTACTCTTAAACCGAGCTCAACCACAATAAACTGTTTGGGATTTGATTTGGTTTGGCGGTTAAACCATTTTTTACTCACCCCTAATAACCATTTGTTTTAGGATAAAATAGCTCTATATTCGAATGCTATTTGTATATTAAAAAAGTGTCGGATCGTATCATCCAGAAAATCCTACATTTATTACGTCTATAAGCAATATGCTCAAATCTTTTGGAGTTGGTCTTATAGTGCTGGACATGGAAGCTTGGTCTTATATCTGTTGGGTAGTTTGGCGTGAATGTAGTGGAAGGAACTCGAGAATAATGATAAGCAAAGCACGTTGTAAACAATACGAAGGACACTATTACAATATGTTAACTCTCATCTTACAAGATACCTCTGTTACTCTCACGATAAAACAAATTTGAACAAAATGATCTTACAACACGTACTCTCTATCTTGACCTCTGTCTCTCTAAAATTGTTGTTCTTTTGGAACACCGGAGTTTAACTAGACAAGCATAGTATGACTTCTCATTTATAGGGTAATAAATTGACTTTGAGGACCCGATCATCTGCCCCACCCTTACCTTAATTGACATTTCAATTGGACAACAAATCTAACTAAAGTCCGTTGCATATATGCATGGTCCCGCGGAAGATGAGGCCGTCTTAACATCCCATTTTAGTGTGCCTCGAACCATTATATGCACTTTACCTCCCTTGCTCAAGTCCGTAAGCTTGTCCCACTGATTTTTTAGTGCTTGTTCCTATTTTACCACTCATAAAAAACCCGAGCATTGTGGCACAGTGCGGTTCTGGTCATTTAAAAATTCCCCTTTCTAGTTTGTACTTAATCACCCGCCCTGTTTGACTTGGCCAACACATACAACCAAGCTTAAGAAAGCAAAGCATATACAGCTAGCATAGCACCTGCACACTTCACCGCCATTGTCTCTGCGTGCCGGGACTCGGCCTCTGTTCCTTTCATTAATCCTTCAGTATACATTTTGTTTTCACATTTACTAAATCCTAAATACTATATACTCACATGTATTCAAGTAGGTGTTGAAGTTTAATAAATAGACGTGATCCATTATATCCATAAGAGTAGCTTTAACTCAGGTTATGACATTGTAAAATATGGTGAAATCATTGACTAATGTTCAAATCCGAGTAGGTAACTTTATAAAATAACGTTCTTGTATATGTCAATCATCAATCAAGTCTGGCAAAACACAAAATCATCACGTCATATTGCATTGTCAAATTGACAACTAACATTAAAAAACCGTACTTGATTGATATACCAACATTCACCACATTAAGATACCAACTACAACTAATCAGTCACCTATTAACTATAGTCTTGCTTGATTTTTGAAAAGTACCAACAACTTTTCTATTTTACTTCCAAGATTACTAACCACTTTAATAATCATCAACGTTTATTCTTGTGGCTTATCAACACTTTTGAAGTTATTAATTTTTATTGAAAATTATCTACCTTAATTAGACCTACGTACAAACATTCGTCATATTAATTACCAACTAAATTTAGTCACCAACCAACCATTTATCTTCTTTGATTTGAAAAGTATCAACTTTTCCAGAGAAATTTTGTAGGATCAACCATCAATTTTTTTTAAAAGTTTCAGCTAGCTAGCTGTTAGATGAATAAGGCCCGATTCGCTTCATATTTGAAATGCGCATTCACTCGCTTGACTCAATTCAAGAGAATCGAGTTTCATGTTATCTGCTCAACTATAATTTTATTAGAGATGGCAACATGCCCCAAATCAATTGACCTCTTATTTTTCAACACGTAAAGCAAATTGAACCTCGTCAGCCTAATTCCAACGTTTCAAAGAAATGAGGGAGCAACATAGAAAGTGATAAAAGGAGCAGCTGGGATTAATGAACAATGTGAAGTGGCCTTATTGTTTGAAACAATTTGCAAACATGCCCTTTCCAATCATACAAGGAAGGTCACTTCTTCACTTTCCCTACCAGTATAAAGGCTTTATAGACCACATTCCTCACCAGCTTTGTACCACCCCAAACCCTCTCAAACTCCCTAGCAACCCCTTCACTCAACATCTCCACTCCCCGTTCTTTCGCCGTCGTCACCGTGGACCACAACCTCAAGATCCCCAGGATTCCCTCGAAAGAAACCTCCTTTGGTATGTCAAGGGCCATTGGGTTCCCCTTGGATCCCAAACTGACACACTCGAAAGGGAACGGCAATGTCTTGTAATGGTCGAACAAGTGCCTGTGTTAGAATTTCAGTACGGAAGCATCGTGTTGAGGAAATTTTTCACTATCGGATCAAAAATAGGGCCGACCTGGATGGCTTGATAGCCCCAAACTGCAATCATGACCCCGACTTGCGAAGGACAAGTTTCACATGGGAGTAGAATTTGGGGAGGTCGAGCCAATGTATGGCTTCAGCCACAGTGATTAGGTTGACAGTTCTCGCCACTGATCATGGCTAACAGTTCGTCGTCTGAGATGGATAGCAGAGTGTGGATGTACCGAACATGGGGATGCGGGATGGCATGATTTAGCTGCGACTCGCTCATGTCCGTGGCAATCACTTGCTGATGATATTCCACGACCTACATTTGGCAAGGGAAATGATGCAAAGGAAACATGTGGCTAAGAAACAACACTAATTTGGATTCCGGGGCATATCAAGTTCGATTTTACCAGCATGGAAAATTATTATTTTCTTAGAACAGAATGGTATAATCATCTGCATACAGTAAGGGCGCGTATGATAATCATTATATTTTTCTATTTTTTTTGTTTTGCTGTTATCAGAAACAGGTTTGGAACAGAATTCGATTTTGGTGATGCAATTTCATTTTTTTTTATTTCTAAATAAATTTTGATTTCAGAAATAGATTTGGAATAGAAATGAGAAGTAAAATTTTTTCTACTTTTATATTTCTAGAACAGAAATGAGAAATAAAAACTCTTTTCATCGCTTGCCCTCACTACTAGCCAGCTGCCCACCCGCCAGCCGCCTCCCGCCGCTATTGGCCGTTCGCCCCGGCCGCCGTCTGCCGTCCTCCGCCGCCAACCGATGCCGGCAGCCTCCCACCGTCGGCCAGTGCCCGTCGGCCGCCTCCTACCACCATCCACTACCATTAGCCACCGGTCACTGTCTGCTGTCCTCTGCCGCCAGTCACCGTCCTAGCATTGATCTATAGCCTGGTAATTGTCCCATTTTAAGAAAATGTAAGGACGGTTTCGGTTTCTTTGACTTATAATACTTTTCCAATTTGACTGTTCGTCCCTTGGTACATTCACTTTTGGAGGAGGGAAAGGAATTGAAAGTTCTCACTCTTGAACATAGTTTGGGCATAACTAGGACACCTAGTTTTCCTAAATGCTCAACTTTAGAGAGATTGACGGCCAAATTCCCTAAAAAACCCCAAACTTTAGGTTTAGTACCAAATCTGCCCAAAACTTTTTTTTGTCTTAAAAAAAACCCTCAACTTTCATTCTAGTCCCAAATCTACCCTCGTTACCTTTCTGTCAAAAATCACCGTTAAGTCTTCTTACCTGGCAATTCCACGTCAGCACAAAATTCACGTCAGAAGCTGACATGGAATAACTCCAAAAAACGTCGACGTTCTTGCTCTGAATATTGAGGGAAAATTAGGATTTCCTTTGCTTCGTCTTCTTCAATTCGCTTTCAAAGATCGACAAAAAAAAAAAATCGCGCTCGAAGGGACAACACCGCTTGGTTGCTCCCTCCATCAGGTTCGTTCTCTACGCCACGAAGCCAGAGCCAGCTAGCTTCTCCATCCCCTTCTCCGTGGGTTAGCCTCTCTATCGTTTCGCTCGAAGAAATTGATTGCGGACAGGAGGGATTCCTCCGTAAATCGACCGAGTCGTGGACTCCAAAACGCTCGGTCTCTTCCTATACAAGCTCGAGCTTGGCCTCTCGGTGGAGAGGTGGCGGAAACTGCAATTGATGTGAGAATGCTTTCTCAGAACTTACGAGATCAATTTGGTATGCTATACCTCAGAACTTATCCGAGAGTCCCCTGCATGAAATTGAATCATTCCTTGTACATTGTCTTTCTGAATATGCTGCATATATGTGACTGGGTCAATCAAACGAAAATTAATTGTACATATATGTATGTGCTGAGATGTTTTCTCAATTTAGGTTAATTGATTACGATCGTCCTGAATGGGATTAGAGATTAGTATCAAATCCGAGCTCATTAATGTATCGTTTCTCCTTTAATCGAATGTATACAACCTGTTTGATGATATGTCCGTGAGATACAGTCATGAATTAATTCTTGGAATTGCTCAATCGGAAGATGTTTTGATATAGTCCACATGTTATTAATCGATTTGTTAATTATTAGACAGGATTCTTGATGTACTTTCATAGTTGCCGAGTACGCTGTTGAACTATCGCCATGGCTTTGTGCTTCACGTGTTTCTATGGTGACCAGTGATGGTTGCTGGTGAGCAACAGAGGGTGAAATTCTGGAATAGCAGATGTTGAGGGGTCAATTGAATTCCTTGCTGATAAGATAAATGGTGACCAAAAGTTGTAGGCAAAAGTTATAATGGTTAGCAAGGAATGCTTAGATAGAGTTCGTGGGATTTTTTAAGTGATGCCTTGAGTATGTCTAATGATTCCAAATAACTGAAGTCAAAAACTATAAACCATTCATTGATGAGTGTTAATTCAGTGAAGAAGCTCATGAAATCATTTTTCGTTTTGTGTTTTACCGAAGGATGGGAAGAAAAAGCTCCTGAATTTTCAAGTGAGCATTAGCCGATGGTTCTCTTTGGTGTATTTCAAGTGTTCCTCCTTATTCTGAAATCCTTTTACTTGAAAAAAACCTAATTCGCTATGAGCAACAGTTTTTTTACCATGTTCTGTGAAATTGAATTTGCTATAAGCAACAGTTTTTTGACGTTGTTCTGTGAAATTGAGTCAACCACCATATGAGGTATAGATGCAGCCCTATAAGCAACAGTTTCCTTTCTCATTTCTGTACCATGAACACTTCCGAAAATCTGTGTCATTTGCGTGCTTTTTGCAAAAAGATATATAAGAGTGTATATCTTCCCATTGCAGTATGGTATAAGAAGCCTGGTTTTGCCGAGTTAAACAGGTAGCAAAGAGAATCAGGGAAAAAAACTCAGAACAACTAAATGAAACGTCATTTAGCAGTTCTCTTCATGGAAAATGTTAGTTTTCTTCTCATCGAAAGTGTAGGTGACAATGTCGTTTTTCAAATCGTCTGTGGGATAAGGCTTGATTTGTTGTTGTTACTGCTGCCATTATTCAACTGAAAATATATGTACTTGGCTGCTGAACACATTGAAGCATGGACTCAAGTGACTCCAGTTTCTGTTTGTCTCACATGCAGAGAACACATTGAAGGCCTTGAAAGAGAAGGAAAAGGAGCAAAGGTGCCCGAGCTTGAGTCAAAGCCGACTGCAGCTGTGATATGAAGGATGCTGAAAAACCTTTATTGACACTGGTGCTTTGAGAAAGCATTCTCACATCCATGGCATCTTTTAGTAGGGGTTGAGTGAAATGAAATTGTGTTTTAGATGATGCGGAGCATCTTGTAGCTGTATTTTTAGATCTCTCATATTCTCTTTTCGATTTATTTGTTTCTAATGTTGGTGAAAGACATATTGAGTTGTAATCCTTGTTGATCTTGAAATACAAAAGTTACCGAATTAGTTGATGTGGAATTTGTCTGAATTATTTGATTGTCCTACCAATTTCTTCTCTCCTGTAAACTTGAGCAGCCAAGTCAAATAGCACAAACTGTTGTAACTGTTTACACGAAACATTTGCTGACGCGCAACTCAGCAAACAAGATTGCACAATATAACACCAGACTTTTGTATCTCCTTCACCTTCCCTGATAAGACCTTTTTATACAGCTAAAACCACAAATAATGATCCAACTTTGATCCTTCAACCAATCCCAGCACCATAGCAAGCACAGCTCAAAAGAAGGCGAAGGCAAAAATCTGCTAAATAGCATTAGATTAACTTAAACCGATCCACATTGTGTGCTGGAAAAGAGAGACATGCCAACATAACAAGCACAACTCAATGCATCGTACATAACCAAACCATCCCATATAGAAAGTTACATTACCATATCCTCACACCAGACAGTACATAGCCATATCTACTTACAAAAAACATAAAAACTAGCACTTTTCTGTCTGCAACAAAATCTCCTCATCTAACAGCAGGCACTGAATATCCACTAGCATTTCTTGGTCCACAATTTCACAATCCACCACCGATTCCAGATTGTTGAGTGCATGGAGATTCCGAGACATCAATTGAAGATTGGCTTATTGAAACTTGAACATTCCTTGCTCTTGTTTGTTCGTTGGAGAAGGATGGACCTCCGATGTCAATAACTCTATCACTACCGGGCATCTGCAAAGAAAAAAAAAAAATCTTACATATGAACTTGCTTTTCTTTTCGATATACATTTAAAATTAGACAAAGATATTATCCTTAAATATGAATTCCCAGTTTCAGACATGAAAAGTCCATATCCTTGTCGAGCCTGAAGATACAAAATGAGCATGAAAAGTCCGTATCCTTGTCGAGCCTGAAGATACAAAATTCGAACATAAAGAGTCGACAATTGAATGAACCCACCATTGCTTCTGATTCAACCTAGTAATACTCCAATTTTTTACGAGCAAAACTTGCTAGCAAAATGATGATCAACCTGCAATTTCAATGTCAAACACATTCCACTGGTTGAAGCGAATTGTAAACGACACAATTCACATCATAAGAACAGTTGACTACCACAACAATCAACCAACATTCTTGTGCGATTGAATTATGTTCAAGAACCTAGAATCATACATGTAACAGGGATAGCAAAAATTGAAAACATCAAGATTAATGCACGCATACTTCATCAAAAACGATAAAAGTTAAATTTAGGGGAAAAAAAGAGCAAAAGAAACGGAAGAACAAATACCTGGTTAACACAAGGGTTGATCGCAGTTTCCGCCACTCTCTCCACCGAGTGACCGAGCGCGAGCCTGTATAGGAAGAGATCGAGTGCTTTGGAGTCCACGACTCAGTCGATTTATGGAGGAATCTCTCCTGTTCGTGATCAATTCCCTTGAGTGAAACGATAGAGAGGCTAAGCCATGGAGAGGGGGATGGAGAAGCTAGTTGGCTCTGGCTTCGTGGCGTAAAGAGCAAACCTGATGGAGGGAGCGACAGAGCGGTGTTGTCTCTTTGAGTGCGAATTGCGATCGATTCCTTCAAGCGAAACAAAAGAGAGGCTAACCCATGGAGAGGGCGACGGAGACGCTAGCTGGCTCTGGCTTCATGGCGTAGAGAGCGAACCTGATGGAGGGAGCGACTGATCAGGAGCGACTGAGCGGTGTTGTCTCTTTGAGTGCGAATTTCTTTTGGTCGATCTTTAAAAGCAAATTGAAGAAGACGAAGCAAAGCAAGCCCTAATTTTCCCCCAATATCCAGAGCAAAAACGTCGATGTTTTCTGGAGTTATTCCATGTCAGCTTATGATGTGGATTTTGTGCTGACATGGAATTGCCATGTAAGAAGACTTAACGGTGATTTTTGACAGAAAGTTAACAGGGTAGATTTGGGACTAGAATGAAAGTTGAGGGTTTTTTTTAAGATAAAAAAAAGTTTTGGGCAGATTTGGGACTAAATCTAAAGTTTGGGGTTTTTTAGGGAATTGGGCCGAGATTGACTCTTCAACATTGTGATCCTTTGGTGAAAATTGATTGCTCGATCGGGAATCTAAGGTGCCTGATTCACTAGAATATTAATTCGTACAAGAAACTTAAAGAGTGCCCGGGGAAATTGGAGATCTACTGAATTATCATTACTTCATTACTCATCTCGATCCTTTTAAAAAAAAGGCAAAGTATATAACAAACACACAACGCATGGACCAGCAACATCATATGCGAAGAAACCGACAACGACAACCCACCAACACAAATATAATACTCAGATCGAGACCACAATAAAGGTCTAGCTTTTGATTGTTCTCTGCCTTTTTTCTTCTATCGTCATAAAAAATCGAAAGATTCTCGACTTCAATGTACAAAAAACATGAGCAATCTTTGTCGTTTTTGCTGCAGAATCTCAAGGTCGCTTATGCCAATGCTGGATTTTGATTTGGCCGAGTGGAATTTGATAGAAAATTAGGGTTCCAGTTGCGAGAATTGGGGATTCTAATGGACGAAGGGGTCGGGCGAATTGGGGTGAGTGGGGTGGGGTTGGGTTTGTGGAGTGTGGAGGTGGAGATCGATTAGGGTTTCTCCGCGGCCGATTTGAGTGGAATGTGATGGAAGAGTTTAAATTGAGGAAAATGTGAATTCTTATGGGATCGGATGAAACAAATTGGGAGAGCAATTAGGGTTCCTATGTGGATGATTTAGGATTTCGTGGCTTAGGTTCTTTTTCATTTCCGCGAAATGACGTAGTTTTGCTTAACTTCTTTCATGTCAAATGCCAGCCGTGTCATGTAGGATGGTCAACGATGACTGGACCACCATGTCAGCATTCTCAAGGCATAGTGACAAAATTACTACATTGGAATTTCATCAAAATGTGTAGGACTAAATAAACAATATTGAAATGTTTAGGATTGAATTAACATTCGTACAATAGGTTTAAAACAGATTTGATAATTTTCCCTCATCATTAACTCCTATAAAAATCTACCAAAATTTATTTTTATAGCTTATCAACGGCTTTTAAGTTTCTAACTTTTATTTCGAATTACCAATCTTAATTTGACCGATATAGCAACATTCTCCACATTAAGATACCAAAAAATTTTAGTGACTTATCAACATTTTATCTTGCTTGGTTTTGAAAAGTACCAATACTTACTTAAACTCTCAAGATTAACAACTACTTATATATACCAACACTAACTCTTGTGACTTATCAATGCCTTTGAAATTACTTACCTCAATTTGACTGACATACCAACATTTGTCACATTATGATAGCAACTAATTTTAATCACAGCACCTTCTTATTTTGCTTGATTTTGAAAAGTACCGACATTTCTATATTCTTGCAAAAGTACCAAATACTTTAATAATCTACTAACACTAATTTTTTTGGCTTTCCAACTCATTTTAAGTGACGAACTTTTGTTCAAAATTATCAACCTTAATTTGACTGACGTACCAATTTTCGTCCCATTAAGGTACCAACAAAATCTTGTCATTCACCAACATTTTATCTTGGTTGGTTGTGAAAAGCGTAAACATTTATTTATACTTTCAAGATTACCAACTGGTTTGATAATCTACTGACATTTAATTTTGTGGATTATCAATGCCTTTAAAGTTATCGAATTTAGTTTGAAATGATCAACTTTAGTTTGACTAATGTACCAACATTTGTCACGTTAAAATACTAACTAATTCGCTTGTGAAGGACGTAGTTCATAAATGATGTCATACTGTTCACTGAACTCCGATGCCAACAACTTACCTTATGGACACTAAGGGCCCGTTTGGTAACGTGCCAAATAGTGAAAATTTCTGTTCTTTTGTTCCCAGAAATAGTTTGGGAACAGAAATGCGTTTGGTAAACTTTTTGTTCCTCGGCACATTTTTGCAAAAATTTGTGCCGAGAAACAGCTTTTGAAGAGAAACAAGAAGTAAAAAAAGTTGCTTCTTGTTTCTGGCACAATTTTGAGAATCAGTTTTTTTCTTCTTTTTCTTTTTTTCTTTTCTTATTTTGTGGTGTTGTTCTTGGTCGAGCCGGCCGCAGTGAACCAGCGGCCGGCCACTCAGACCGGCCACAGCCCCAGGCCGGCGAGGGCGTCACGGCCCTCGCCGGCCGCCGGCGGAGGTGAGGGTCACCCTCGCCGGCGAGGGCGAGGGCCGGACCCTCGCCGCTCGGGCGAGGCGGCCTCGCCCAGATCGAGCGAGGCCGAGCCTCGCCGTCGGTCGCGACGGCGAGGTCGGCCTCGCCCGCAGAGACGGCGAGGCTCGGCCTCGCCGTCGCGACCCACGGCGGCCGACCTCGCCGTGGGTCGCGACGGGCGAGGCTCGGCCTCGCCCGGCTCTAGCGAGGCCGAGCCTCGCCATCTCCGGGCGAGGCCGCCTCGCCTAGGCGGCGAGGGTCCAGCCTCGCCTCGCCGGCGAGGGCGACCTCGCCTCAGCCGGCGGCCGGCGAGGTCCGTGACGCCTCGCCGGCCATGGCCAAAGAAGAAAGTAAAAAGAAAAAAAAAATTTTAAACAATTCAAAATATTATTAAAATATTATTTGGGAACAGAAATTTTATGTAGTTACCAAACGCATTTCTGTTCTTTTCTACTCTAGGAATAGAAATTTTGGACATTTATCAAACGCCTTCAAATACTCAGAAATTGTTTCCGGGCACAGAATCAAAAAAAATCATTTCTGTTCAGAAATAGCGCCCGGGCACAGAATGGTATTCATGCGCACCCTAAATCCTCATAGCAGAGTGAATCCCTGTTCAATATGCATTCTTTTTTCTCTGTAACACTTGTTTCTTTCAGTGATTTCGATTTAAGCGTGATGAAGGGTCTGATAGCTCTATAATCAAGCCATCAGTTAAGCTTTAAAGTTCTATGTCAGGGGCACAATTTTCTCGGTTTTTCCAATTCCACGATTCTAATAGAAGCCACAGAAAACTTCTCAAGTTGAAAAACTAGAAATGCTTGCAGATACCGTCTAATATGCTTGATAAACATGTCATGAATCTCGCCAAAGGATACGGTTGGAAAAGGTAACTCATTTTGTCTGAGGTGTCGGACCTGTAAAAGCAAGGCATCATCAAGTTCTGTAAGTTCCGTCAGTTCGAATGACATGATTATAAATATTTAAAATGGATCCATTCAATACTTAAGGTGGATAATTGCAATGAGCAAATGCCATCGAACATGAGATTGGTCATTAATTGCATGTTTTAGTATCAGTTTTAACACATAAGTAGCCAAAAATAGCACTCAGTCAGTATGTTGGTGAGAATTTTTTTTTTTTGGTCGTATGTCGAGGAGTTCTGATGAGATTATCTTCTATGCGACTGTCCGTAAGAAACTCCTTCAAGTGGGCCTTCCAATTTTATGTTTGTATGAACCAACAAAACAAGGGAAAGGGCGATGTTGAGTGTGTACAATCTGTGAACAGTAAGTAGAAGACGCACATTGTATGTCTCCAGCTTGTAGTAGTTCGCCTCCATCCTTCAAGTTTGATAAACTGCCTAGCCTTCTCATAGAGTAGCACTTTTTGACAGAAAGCTTCTCCAATGATTCCAATGCACCGAGAAATCGAATTTCAACTAGCCTTGCGCATGAAGATACCTTGGCTTCTTTCAGTTTCACTGTGCTCGACAGAATGCACAATCTCTCGAGGAGTTCACGCTCCGACATGGTCAACTTTTTCAACTGCGGAAGGCAATCGAGCTGTATTTCATTCACTCAGAGTATCAAAGAGCCTCAATTCTATCAAGTTTCTCAAGTTCGACGACAGTGAATCCATTGAATTGACATTCTTCAGTTCCAACTCCAGCAGAGAAGATGGAAGTTTCCTAAGGGTTCGCTGGTCAAGTCCAGTTAAAGTAAGTTGGCTCAGCAAAGGAAGAGAACTCAACTCTGTAGGCGGTGAGGGAACATTTAAAACGCACAGCTTCAACTTGTTCAGTTTGGATAACTTCCCAATCCACTGTACAGCACAAGTTTAAATTATATTTGAAGCGTGCCCATTTTCAGAGCCATCAGATAGGAGCAATTCAACTAAATTAGCAAGGTCTGAGAGTTTAGGGACTATCTGCAGCGACCAACATTTCAGACACAAAATGATCAAAACTGTCGGGAAGCTCCGGCAAGTCTCGAATCTCATCACAAAGGCACTGTTGAAGTACTTTTTCATCTAGCACATTGAACCGGATGGAGGCAATTTCGCAAGAAGCCGAAGATGTTTTCCAGATCTCGATACAAGTCGGTCACTTTGAAATTGAAGGCACGATGAATACTTTTTAACACTATGGCCACGTCAATGATTATTATTAGAAAATTATTACACTTCACATATTTAAAAATGACCCATTTGCCATAAAAAAACGCATATATTTACCATTCAC